AACGTAAGGATGGCAGCATGAAAGATAATGGGGGGGGGACTGGGATGAGGGGTTTATGCATAGGGGAGCATGAGTTGGGGATTTCAGGAAGGTGGGGAATGAGCTAAAGTTTGAGTTTTACTGCTTAGTGACTGACTAGAACTAAACCACATTTTTTTTCTTCCTGGTTTTTTCAGGTCACAAACCAGGTGAGCATGTTTTATTTATTTATTTGTTAAGATAACCATTTGCTTGTTTTATTCTTGGGTTTTGACCTCTTCTGTCCCCATAACCTTTTGGCTGTGATGTTCACATTCCTCCTTCATTCTGTCTCTGAGTGCATGGATGTGTGTCTGTGTATTGTAGACCCACCCACAGGCTCTCTCTCATCCGTCAGCTGAGGATAGCACTTGGGCATCTGATGGAGTAAGCTCTGGTCCACGAAAGCTTATGCTGCAATACATGTTTGCATTTGTTGCAAGAAATTGACTCGCTGCCTTCCCTGTTTTAAGGCCAGGGAGTTTCCCATTCTCCTTCAAGGCCCTGCACAGTCACCATGAAAAATTATACCCCGGCCGCCTCCTTGCAGCCTACTCATTTCGTTAAGGAAAGCATCTTATTGTGGAGAATTTAAGTTTGGGAGAAAATAAACTCATGAACGTAAAAATGTGTTTTATGGTTTTATAAACAGTGTTTGATAACAGTGTTCATCACTGTTTATCGCATAAAGTTTCTAAGTATCCATATCTTTAATCTTGTTAATCATAATTTGCAATGCTTAGAAACTTGATTCTCAAACATCACTGTTTCTATCAAACATTGTTTAGGTTCTCTAACACTTGGTTTGGCTCACCATAGCTTCATATCTTTTGCATCTTAACATGTCTTAAGCATTAATGGAATGGGGTATCATCTTTCTTTGCGTATGTCAGCTACCCAGGACAGTTGACTATGCAACTTCTGTATTTTGCCATACCTATCATAGTTATTGCTCTGTCCTGTATAACTGGTCCTAGGTGACACCACAGGAAGGAAATGCACGTCCTTTATGCAGAGGACAGTATCAGTTTTCTAGGAAAGGATAACAATTAAAAGTGATGGAGTTGATGTAGAAGGGTGACCTCCTTTTGGATATGTGTATAAAATATGAGGGGTGACTTTTAAAAGAACAAACATATGTAAGTCACTAGTTAACCCCTTGTTTAGAGGATAGATAACCAGATGTCAAAGAGAAAAACAACTACCAGACTTTTAGAAGACATCTGAAGGCAGCCCTGTTTAGGGAAGCTTTTAATGTTTGATGTATTATAGTATTTTAATATTTTTTTGGAAGCCGCCCAGAGTGGCTGGGGAAGCCCAGCCAGATGGGCGGGGTGTTAATAATAATAATAATAATAATAATAATAAATTTATTATTATTTATTATTATTATAAAGGACCATCAAGGCACTTTCTTGTACAAGATTCAGAATACAGAATCTTAATTTATGTTGAATCTGAGCTGGGTATGTGGAGGAGGAGGTTTGTGGTGTTTGTGAAGAATTGCAATCTGATCTTTCGAATGTGACGCATTAGGCTTTTGCCGATGTTGCTCAACAGCATCCCTGAGAAGACGAGACAGGTTAATTGCTTATTGCTTATTGCTTGGGTGGTAACAAAATCTTTCACAGCAGATGAGTTTTCTGGCATGCTCAAAAGCTAGTGCATCAGCACATATGGTTCATGAAGGAATTTCCCTTTAGGCCTATGTGACAGATAAGTACTAGTACAGTAACTCTTGCCTAAGCCATCCCTGTAAAATTCAGTAAATGTAGTTCTTACCTTTACCTCCTCACAATCTCTTTTTTTTTGGAGAAGGATTATTCAGCCTTGTAATTACACAGTCGCCTGACCTTATGGCAAGCAAGCAATGCCTCCAAGTAGTGCATATTTTCTCCTGCTTGGCCTACTCTGGAGGGGGAGGTACAGCAATATATTATGGCAGCTGCTGTTTCTTCTCCTCTCCATGTCCACAGTGCTAAGATTCAGGCAGGCAGGAGTGTCAAGCGACAGTTGCCATGTCACTGTATTCATTTTGCCACCTTTAAACTTTGTGGTGGAAGTCCGCGTCGCATGAGTGTGAGATGAACTGATTCCATAGCACGGTGCTGGGTTTCCCCAGTGCTGGGTTTTGGCAGAGTATATGGAAGACTGAAAGAAGATAAACTTGCAGAGTAAGTGGCACAGAGACCCCGCCCTGAAAAGCTGGTATTGTAAATGCATTATCTGCTAGATAAATGCTGTTTGCGTGGGATCCGATTGAGTTCAGCAGGTTCATTAATGTGGCACACAAGTTAAAGATCTACTGAATTCCAGTGGCCCAGCTTGTACCATCGGTAACTAGATTTTGACAACCGAGTATAAGTCTTCTATATCTGTGTTCCTGGACAGGTGCTGTTTACTTTCAAGCTCTGCATAATCAGTGGTTTATGCAGAGAAGTGCACGCCTTCAGATTTTTGCAACCCTATTTAAGGCCTTTTCCTGGGTGGCAATTTATGATTAGTGAAGCATTTGAGAATTACCGTATTTTTCGCTCTATAAGACGCACCAGACCACAAGACGCACTAGTTTTTGGAGGTGGAAAACAAGAAAAAAAAATATTCTGAATCTCAGAAGCCAGAACAGCAAGAGGGATCGCTGTGCAGTGAAAGCAGCAATCCCTCTTGCTGTTCTGGCTTCTGGGATAGCCGCACAGCCTGCATTCGCTCCATAAGACGCACACACGTTTCCCCTTACTTTTTAGGAGGGAAAAAGTGAGTCTTATAGAGCAAAAAATACGGTACATGCTGCAGGCCCCCAGTGTGTTTTGTGGCAGTAGAAACATCGTGGGTCTGTCTCCATACCTGAGCCTCTTCCATCAATTATTCTGTGTAGTTTATCTCCTCAGTTCTGTTATAACTTAAGTAGGGATTGGAGAAGCAAGTGATGGCCATTACCAAGTACAGTTAACACATTTTAAAATCCAGGTACAGGTCAGGATAAGGATTAAGGGGTTAAGCCAGAGGCTATGTGGAAAACGTGGGGTCACCTATGTGAACAGTTATTCTCTTGTGCATCTGTATTGATTAGTGTAAGAGAACTTGCAGATGAGTCTCTGAAGATAAAATGGGTTATCCTCAACTGTGTTACTTTCTAATTTCTGGAGAGAGCAGTGGGAAATGAAGTTAGGAATAGCATAGTTTGAAGGTTGCTTCTTTGCATTACCGGGTGCGTGGAACCCAGAGGCTGTGGCACCCTTGAATTTCTTACTTTGAGTAGAAGATTGCCTTGCCGCATCACAAACCGCTTATATAAAAGTCCTCCGAGTTTGAAAAGTTACTTTAAAATGCAGGGATGGGTGGGTGTAGGAATCGCAGTTTGAGAATCACAAGCCACAGGCAGCCTTAAATTTGCAAAACTGATTGCATTGCCGCCTAGATCTCAGCTACACTTAAGTTCCAGAAGCAAAACCATTTTTCCTTGAGCTTTGAAGAATTCAGTTTCTTAATAATACATAACTTAACATTGCTGTTTATTACTACCATCCTCTGTCAGTTGTGCTGTCTATGTTGAACCATACTGAAAGATGCAAAATATGACCTTTCTTTTGGAAAGAATTTTTTTTACAGTACACTGTGTGACGGATATACTTATTGATAAATGCTTAATGTGTATCTCTCTTTTACTAGTTTCTCAAACAGCTAGGGATTCACCCCAGCTGGCAATTTGTGGATGTTTACGGCATGGAACCAGAACTCCTTAGCATGGTGCCAAGACCTGTTTGTGCCATCCTTCTCCTCTTTCCAGTAACAGAAAAGGTAATTCTTATTTATCTTATTTAACTTTGGTGTCTTACAAATGACCTAAGGAAAACAGGCTTTAGTAGGTTTAGATCTTGGTCTGACGAACCATGGTTTATCAGACTAGAACAAAGCTATGTTTCATACACGCTCACTCCCATTTTTCTCTTCATGAACCTTGTTTGGGTGAAGAGACTCTAGCTTCTTTTCTTTTTTCAAAAAATATTTTTAATTAAGAATTTCAACATAATAATTTTAACAAAGATACATCATCCACATTATTCCCCCCCCCAGTTTTCCCCACCCCTCCCCCCTAGACAGAAACCCATCCTCCCAACTTCCCTCAGCTCCTTTCTCTGGTTTCTCAACACATATTTTTATCTGCATGTTGTAAAATTGTAAAGATCCTCAGTTTGTCTATCTATATATTACCAATAAAGATTTTGTGAATGTTTATTCAAAACCTACCAAAGAGTTCAGTTCATTTTGTTGTTTCTTCAAATATTTTACAAAAGGTTCCTATTCATCTTTAAAGTCAGTTATCCTTGTCACATAGTTTGTATGTCAGTTTGGCCGCATAGTCCATCAGTTTTTCTTGCCACAGTTCTTTCGTCGGGATTTCTTCATTCTTCCATCCTTGTGCTATTAAGACTCTTGCCACCGTTGTCACATACATTAAAATATTTTTAAATTTCTTTGGCAGATCTTTCCCCACAATCCCTAACCAAAAAGCTTCAGGTTTTTTTCACAACTGTTAAATGAAACATTTTCTTTAACTCATTATATATCATTTCCCAGAACATTTTAACTTTACTGCAATCCCACCACATATGATAAAAAGTCCCTTCTTTTTCCTTGCATTTCCAACATAGGTTTGAGCCTGTTTTATACATTTTCCCTAATTGTACTGGTGGTATGTACCATCTATACATCATTTTCATGTAGTTTTCTTTCAGTAAAGAACAATCTGTAAATTTTAGGTCAATTTTCCATAACCTTTCCCAGTCTTCCAACATAATATTGTGGCCTATGTCGTGTGCCCATTTAATCATAACTGCTTTCACCTCTTTGTCTTTGGTCTCTCATTCTAACAAGATACTGTATGCACCTTTCAACAGTTTTACTCTCCCTTCTACCACTTCTTTTTGAAATTTAGATGTCGTATAACTAAATCCTTTCTTGTTGTCTTTGTATGTTTCATATGATTGTCGATAATGTAACCAACTCTGAAAATGGTCTTTTATTTCTTCGTAGTCTCTTAATTTCCATTTCCCATCTTGATCCTTTAACAGATCAGTATGTAAGCCACTTTCCTTTCTTTCCAAGTGGTTTGAGCAGCAAAGCTTCGTGTGGTGATCCTTTAATTGCAGAAGGAGGATCTGGTGCTCCAGTTCTTCCTGTTTCCCTTGAACCCCTTCCACAATTCCCTTCTTCTCTTAGTTCTCCTACCTCGTCTCTAACTTTTTCCCGTTTGTCCACCTTGGTTTCTAATTTATTAACCTTGTCTCCCAACATCCCAAATTGCTCTTTCAAAAGGGAGCAAAACTCTGTTTGAGTTTTCAATATCCTTGCGTATTGGTTCAATCAGTGTTTGTTTGGATCGAGTAAATTCCTTCCCCCCCCCCAATTTTTTTTATTGGTTTTCACAATATTATAAACAAACAAACACATAAGACAAACAAACATAAATCATAGCCTTATGGAAATTTACACTTATTAACTTTGTTAAATGACTTCCCTGCTTCCCCTTGGTTGAATTTCATTGCATATCCTTTTAACGGTTTCCCAAATCATAACTCTTATAAAATTTAACTTAAACATTAACATCCTTAAATCTTCACTTTATGAAATTAAACATATTAATTCATCACTTAACATAAATAAAATCCTAAGCCAATTAAGTATCTGCAAGCTGTTTTCAGTTAATTTAACTTAACATATTTAACTAAATAATCATTAAATTTAATCCACTCTTCCTGATACTCCTCCTCTGTCTGGTCACGGACTCTTCCGGTTAGGTTGGCTATCTCCGAAAAATCCATCATCTTCATCTGCCATTCCTCTCTCGTTGGTAATTTTTGGGTTTTCCACCTTTTAGCTAACAAAATACGAGCAGCAATAGTGGCTCTGCAACTTTCTGAATTCAGGAAAGAAATGGTTCAATCAATGCAGGAATTTACTCGAACTGCTGCTACTGCCACAACTGGATCGAGTAAATTCCTGCATTGATTGAACCATTTCTTTCCTGAATTCAGAAAGTTGCAGAGCCAGAAGGTCTGTCTGCTCTTTCTCCCCTTTCTCTCCAATCTCTGCTTGTCCACTAGCCCTTCTACTGACTGCCGCAGCTGCAGCTGCTCCCCTCCTAGTTGTTACTGTACCCTCCTTGCCCACCATGTCTTATCAGTCGGTTCCCAGTGTTATTTGAGATGTTCAAGGTCACACCTGCTAGCCCAGTTCCCTCCAACAGTGAGACTTTCCCCCCTCCCAACTTCCTTACAGTTTCACTTTCCCTCTTATCTGCCTCCTCCCTCCAGACAACAACAAAACTTATAATCATATAACAAAAGGAAGGCACAAACGAAAAGGGAAAAAAGAAATAAAAACTTGCAATATAACAGGGGACATAAAATATACAATTAAAAGGGTATCAAATAAAAAAGACAGAAGTAAGTAAAAAATAATTTAAAAATCCAGAATACAGCCGAAAGGACAAAATAAATCAGTTCAGCTCTAAATTGGTGTCTTTAAGAAACTAAAATGTTCTTTAATTTGTACTTATCTGCTTGTAATTGTCTCAAATTGTATTGGCTTACAATAGTTCCAAAGTTTATGTCTCCGTATTATTTCCTGTTTCTAATTCCATGGCAAGTTGTCTTATTATTTAATTCAGTAAAGTGCTGGAGTTTGAATCAACAGGTCCTTCTTGTCAGGCTCTTTCAGTCAATTGGGGTGTAGAAATTAGTTCGGAAGCTGTTCCAGGCTCTTTCCCACTTTCGGGGGTATCCCCAGATGTGCTAGGAGTTCCCTTCTGGCTTCCTTTATTTCCTTTCTTTCCCCCTTCCTTTTTCAGCTCTCCCAGTTTAAAAGGTCTGCTCCAATTCCTCCAGCTGTCAGTAGATTTTTTTTACTTTATAATCCAACAGATAACTTGATGCAGTTAAGTGGTACCTCGCAAGACGAATGCCTCGCAAGACGAAAAACTCGCAAGACGAAAGAGTTTTTTGTTTTTTGAGTTGCTTCGCAAGACGAATTTCCCTATGGGCTTGCTTTGCAAGACGAAAACGTCTTGCAAGTTTGTTTCCTTTTGGATTTTCAATGCATTCCTATGGGAAACCGTGCTTCACAAGATGAAAAATTCACAAGACGAAAAAACTCGCAAAACGAATTAATTTCGTCTTGCGAGGCACCACTGTACTGTATAAATCCTTTGAATGTAACCATTCAGCTAGTTAGAGTAAAATGTATCCATTCTCCATTGCTGTAGTCAGTCTCTATATCCTATTCACAAAAACGTTCCTTTGCAGAGTTCACCCACAGAAATCGGAAGCTGACTTGCTGTTTTGCTTCCGTTTCGCCAAAAGTTCATGCGTGTTGCTCAGTGTGTATATTTATTTAACAACAAAGTATGTGGTTTTCCGCAAAATAACTGTTTTTGTTGCTATGAAAACCTAAGTTGCTTTAATTTACTAACATTACAGTCCTAACCAATTTACCTTAGACCAAGCCACATTTAATTCAGCAGGGCTTTCCTCTGAGGAGACATGGCTAGGATCGCACTTGAAATACTACTTTTTCCTGTTTTTTGTGACCAGGTTAGCCAAACCTTGGCTTAGCAAGACTGCAGGGAGGCACCCAAGAGGAGCCCTCAGCTGGTTTGCTGTTCCCTGATTCTCCCCCCCCCCCCCCGCTGCTGTGCCATGGTTTGTTTCAGCATGAGCCAGCCCTTTGCAACAGTCCAAGTTGTAGTGTATCTCAGTTGCTGAAATCTGGGAAAGGTTTAAATATGTTTGGAAATGTTAAACACCTGTACAATAGGCTTGTTTGTTTGCTTTAGGATATTCTAATGATTTATATTCCTTGAGTTAGCTTGGTTGGGAGCAAAGGTTAAAACATTTGTCAACTGAAGAGATTGCAGGTAGATTTATAACAGAATGTGCTGTATAATAGACACAACTAGCTGTCATGTGCTTTGAAGATTATTCAACCAATGAAGAACTCAGTATAATAGTGTATAGACTTTAAGCATGAGCTAGCAGATGTGAAAACTGGCAAGGTTTAGTTTGCTTCAGTTGACAGTAGTTAGCTTTAGCTTGTGATGTGCTCTTTGTAAAAGAAGATGGTGAATTTGTCTTACTAGCAGTGAAACTAGCCATGCTAAGAGCATAAATTGATGCATGTTTACTGAGAGTAAAACAGTCAGCTAGACAATCTATAATGTTTAGAAAGGTCTCCAGCTTACTAGTGGCAGTATCTCAAAGCAAGAACAAACTTTATTTTTAGGTTGTATTGCTTCTTTTTGGCAAGGACTGCTTATGTTATAGAATTATTCTTTTAAAAAACAGAATTGGGAAAAAAGCAAATTGCTACGTGTTTTTTATTCTTGCCTTCCAGTATGAAACATTCCGAACAGAAGAGGAAGCAAAAATAAAAGCTGAGGGACAAGAAGTAAAACCATCAGTGTATTTCATGAAGCAAACAATCAGCAACGCCTGTGGAACTATTGGGCTTATTCACGCTATTGCAAACAACAGGGATAAAATTAACTTTGGTAAATACTTCATTTCTACTGTGGTGCCTCTTAATGGTTTGAAGGGTAGGGGGCGCTCCTGAACTGCTTATTGCTTATACTGAACTGCAGAAAACTTAGAAATAAGCAAAAGTTGGCTGAAATGCTCTTGGAAAACAATTGCCACAATATGAATAGCTGCAGCAGAATAAAATACATAGCAAATTCAGCATGGATTTTTAAGATTAATGTTGTCCTCAGTTCTTAACAGGTACTGTAATTACTTATGTTGTCACTTCATGTGAAATAAATAAGATGTGATAAGTTCAGCAATGTTTTTTGTTATAGAGTTCAAAGTAACATATTTTAACATATTTTTAAATTCACGTTATTTTATTTGTTCTAGAAACTGACTCCTCACTAAAGAAGTTCTTAGATGACTCTATGCCCATGAGTCCTGAAGAGAGGGCCAAATATCTAGAAACTTACGAAGTCAGTATCATTCCTTAATATAAATTTGGGAAACGGGAGTATTTTGCTTTTAGGCCTATGTATGTCAAGCCAGATTGCACAGGCTTTGGGTGGGGCAGTCAATGCAGGGTTTTGGGTTCATTTTTATTAGGGTAGTCTTAAGAACTACATGGGACGCGGGTGGCGCTGTGGGTTAAACCACAGAGCCTAGGGCTTGCTGATCAGAAGGTTGGTGGTTCGAATCCCCGCGACGGGGTGAGCTCCCGTTGCTCGGTCCCTGCTCCTGCCAACCTAGCAGTTCGAAAGCACAAAGTGCAAGTAGATAAATGGGTACTGCTCCAGCAGAAAGATAAACAGCGTTTCCGTGCGCTGCTCTGGTTTGCCAGAAGCGGCTTAGTCATGCTGGCCACATGACCCAGAAGCTGTACGTCGGCTCCCTTGGCCAATAAAGCGAGATGAGCGACGCAACCCCAGAGTCGTCTGCATCTGGACCTAATGGTCAGGGGTCCCTTTACCTTTACCTAAGAACTACATACATTTGGCTGAATTTTATTATCTCTCTCTCTCTCTGTGTGTGTATGTATATAAGTGTGTGTGTGTGTGTGTGTGTGTGTGTGTGTGTACACACATACACTGCCCTTTGTTGCTTGAAAGACAGTATCAGTGGAATAAAACGAAAGGCAGCATCATAGAAGCATTCAAATATTTACACTTGGACTGCTCACACATATGCCTGAGTTCAGAGAGACAACTTCATTAGCCAAAAGCCTCTCAAGGTGCACCCCATTCCCACCCAATCTGGCTGACCACAAGGCCCAGGCTGGAAGATTTGGGAAGAGATGCTCCTTCAAATGGTTTGGTTTGATGCTGTTAAGGGCTTTATATATTAATGCATGCCAACAGCTCAAATTTGGTCCTGTAACTGTAACAGATAAGGTGCCTGTGCAGCATCCATGTGATAATGAGAGATCCCTGATCCAGTCCCTTGCTGCTTGCAAACAAGGTTTCCAGCACCTGTACAACCTTGTTTGATGAAGATGGTTTGGATGGATATTGGTGTACTAGTGGCATCACAGCCAGTAGGCACAGTTGGGGGCTCTTAATCTGTGTTTTCTTGGTTTTGCTAGGAAACCAACACCTGTACTCTAGCTGCTGTCTAGCCTGGAGCTCCTCCGTCTCACTATTCTGCAGTAATGTCAGGGCTACACCAGTCATGCCAACTGGAAAATTCCCCATAGCATTCAAGTATCCCTTCATTTTCATAAGTCTCTTGCGGGCAGACCATCTTAATTTCCCCCCCAACCCTGGGATGGAGAGGGGGCAATGAGGTTCTCCCACCATCAATCTAGACCTCATTACAACCTCAGTATCCACTTACACTTCCCCTAAATGCTACTTGGGATGTGAAGGCACATGATTTCATTAAAAAAGCTGCTGGTATTTGGTTAAAGAGTTCAGAATTGTATTTTTATTTAGACAGTGGGAGGGAACTTAAAAATCTGGGTTTGGCACTTGGATTATTATAAATCACTGTATAATGTAAGATCTTGCCTATAAACTAATTGCCTTTTTATTATTTCAGGCTATCCGTGTCACTCATGAATCCAGTGCCCATGAAGGTCAGACTGAGGTATTGAACTTAATGTGTTTCCCCCCTGCATAAAATTTTGAGTAGGGATCTTTCTGTATGCAGTTTCTAACAAGTTGGGGGGGGGGTTTCTCTCTTTTCTGTAAAAAAAAATTCTACTAGGTTGCTAAAAACTGGAAAAAGTGGTATCTATCCTGTAGGGAAGTAGCAAGGGTCCATATGGATGTATGAGATATATAAAGTTACAAATATAATATGTTTCACTGGTAGCTGTTATATTATACTGGCTCATAGTTGTAAAGAGGCAGTGCTTAGGTCGATGTCAGTTCAGCCATTAATTGTCTGAGTAAAAAGCCACTTCTGCCACCAGTATGGTAAGGATAATACTAGTCGTGTTTTATTATATGGGATTTTTTAAAAATGAGGCCTTATATCTGAAGAACCAAATGCTTGGGGAAAGTGCTATATGAATATTAACAGGAAGCTTTTTATTTAATATTGTAGATGCATGGACAATCGTTTTCTTACCATAGAGACATTGTCTTCTTCCTACCCTTCCTCCTCAGTTCACACCAGCACATACATGATGAGCACACTGTGAGCACATTTAACGCTAAACGACACTCTTCTCTAATCTAATCTAATCCGATCCGATGCGGTGAGACAGCTGTAGTTACAGGCTGGTGGCTGGGTTTTTTTTTTTTTTTAAAGACCCATCTGGTACAATCAATGATAAAATTGGAATGCTTCTATTTTTTAGTTGATTTCAGCAGGATTTAGCCTTGTCTTTAATTCTGGATCGTGTCCATTAGCCATCACAAATGGCAAGGTATCAATAGGTGAAGGTTTAGGCAGGATACATACAATAAAACTGGTGTCCCACCTGTGCGTGCCACCTTCTTCTTCCTGGGCTCTTTGGGATAGGGCTGAGGCGAAAGAAATCCTGAGAGCATTGGCGTGTTCATGTGTTCTCTAGTTCACGATGCGCTGCCTTGCAGTGGTTAAGCTTTCCTCATGAGCGTTTGGCTACTAGATGTTGGTCTCCCCTCAGTGGATCGTTTCCAAAACTTTGTGCACCAAAGGCCCACGGACAGGCAAAAAGGAAACTTTAGTATTTTGTATTTAAAGATAACATGTAACATTTAAGTTACAATAATAAATTATTATTATTATATGTAGCACATTAGGCCATCCAAAGAATGGCTGCATGCTTTGTCTCCTCGTATCATTCATATAGCGTAATAACGGAATGAAATAAATTTCAGCGTATGCAGCCAGGTTTACTAAATGCAGCAGAAACCAACAATTTTTGTGTTGATTTTAATTTAGCATTATTTGCCTATGCATTGTGAAAAGATGCAATTAAGCACAAGGCCTGCTTACAGATATGTTTGAGCAATGATGGGGAGGGAAAGGTAAAAATTGTATCTGGCAGGCTGTAGGATGGAGAACAATGTAGTGCTGTTTACTAAACACTGAAATGCTTCAGTTATACGATACAATGTACAATACGGTATATTTATTGTTATTGTCCCATGCAGAACAATGAAATTGAAAAACTACATAAAACTACTACAAAACTACATAAAACCTACATAAAACTACTACAAAACTACATAAAACCTACATAAAACTATTACAAAACTACATAAAACATTCAAAAACCCCTAAAAACTCTGAAACCCCATTTTTAAATACACTATACTATAGAGACCCCTTATGCTGTGTTTAGAACCAGAATTGCATTTGCGTAGAAACTGTTTCTCAGGCGGCTAGTCCTGGCCTTTATAACCCTATACCTTCTTGCAGAAGGCAGAAGCTGAAAGAGATCATTTCCGGGGTGCGTACTATCCTGCGCTATCTCTGCCGCTTTCTTATGGCACCTGGCAGCATAGATTTGATCTAAGGTGGGAAGAGTGCACCCAATTATTCTCTCTGCATTCCCCATTTTGGCTTTGCTTGCAACAGGTTAAATGAATCATTACAGTGAAAACCTTGCCACAGGCGTAGCCATGCTGGTTTTCGTAGCAAAAACAATCAAGGAGCGTTGTGGGCACAGTAAAGACTAACAAATATTAACTGGGCTGGAGCACCCAAAATCTTACGCTGTAATTATTTGTCAGTCCTTAAAGTGTCACAGGACTTCAGTGTTAGTAGCCTGGCTTGTACATCACATGAAACTAAAACTTGGTTTGGGGTGAATGCACAGGGTCCTGAAGATGAGCTTGCATCTGCCTTGTTCCTCCCTGATCCTTTGGGCTGCCATGCCAAGCTAAGGTGTGGCTTGACTTAATGTTTCATTTGACCCCGGCCTGTGGTTTCGCACTCTCCAGACTAACCACAAGCTGTGTGAACCAGCCACTAACTAAAATGGGCTGGGTGCCTGACCTTGTGAGTTTTTAAGTTGGGAAAGCCTCGTTTTATTACTGGCTTACACTGTTTGTATTACAAGGGTGTAGAAAGCAAAATTGTGCTTGCGTAACCTCTAGGTGGGGATACAATACTAGGTGCTAAAATATGAAATTCTATTTGCCAGATGCCTTTTTCCATTTGCTAAATGTATACAAGTTGCTTTCTGGAGTGGATGTGCATGACTAAAATTCAAAGCATATTTTCATTGGGCTATATATATACAGTGGTACCTTGGGTTACATACGCTTCAGGTTACAGACTCCGCTAACCCAGAAATAGTGCTTCAGGATGAGAACAGAAATCGTGCTCTAGCGGCGCAGCGGCAGCAGGAGGCCCCATTAGCTAAAGTGGTGCTTCAGGTTAAGAACAGTTTCAGGTTAAGAACAGACCTCCGGAATGAATTAAGTACTTAACCTGAGGTACCACAGTATATGTGTGTGTGTGTCCTAAATTTAGTTAGGAATCATTACAAAAAATCTTGACTAGAAATTGTGACAGAGAGATTACTTGTTGCATTGTATTTGAAACGGGCCTGAGGGATTGCTGTAATAGCCGTGCTACAATGACTATTTGTACGCTGGTACTGAAAAGATGCTATGCTAGCATTAAACAGTGATCCACTGGTATGGATGTCTAGAACACATTTAGTGCTGCTGTTAAAATTGCTTCCTAATTTTCGATGGTAGCAGTGCCAATGGTTTTAACTGTGCTTGTAGTGAGCTGTGTGATCATGTGGTTCCTTCCCCACATCTTCCTGTGCAGCATGAATTCCGCTCAGTTCACATGTAACATTAAGCCGAATCATGAATATATGTGAATTTTAGGCGTGTGGGCACTCACTGTAATAATCACAGCTGCTTTGCTCCACCGCCAATTGCTGTGTTGCCACCCATGGCTGACTTCCAGTTTTCATAGCTATGGTTTTAAGGGACCGTTTGAACCAGGCCAATGTTTTGATGGAAGCAAGGAATCTTTAAGGTGCAAATAAATATTTTGTATATCCCTACTGTGCTCCGGAGGGCTGGGCAATATTTTGATTTTTAACATTGCGATATATCACCAGCTAAACTTTATGATATATTGACATATCATGGTGTCTGAAGTAAACATGGAACTGTGTAGAGGCTCAGTCTGGGAAATCTTGAACTGTTATTTCCAAAACACTTCTTCTAACATGCTCAGATGTATGACTCTCTTCTGTTGCTTTTGCGCACTCATCTTTTGAAGTTGGGATTCTAGGAGTGCATGGATGCAAAGTTAATCTTCATGGTTTCCTCGTAAAACAAAAAACCCACAAAAATAGATTGGCATAAGTTCAAAGAACAGCAGGTCCTTTGTTTGTAAGGTGAAATTGCATCCAAAAACTTGTAGTTAGCAGTTTCCTATTTTACAAGGAAAGCTCAGATAATCCATTTCTGTTCTAAATACAGAATTGCACTCTGCATTGTGTATAATGTTCACCTGCTTGCCTGCAGATTAGACTGCATTACGCATCCAAATGGAATATGTGCTATTCTCAGAATATTTGATGTGAGGCAAGAACTTCCTAGGTGAACTTTTCCATGGTTGCTATATTTTTTGCTCTGGGAATCCCCATAGCTCAGTGGCCTGGCAATTTACTTTGCCTCCAGAAGATGCCAGGTTGAATCCGCAGCATCTGGGAAAGCCCGACAGCTGCTGCCAGTCAGTGTTTTCAGTTCTGAGCTTGATGGGCAAAATAGTCTGATTGGTTCCTTTAAAAAAAGAAATTGCCTAAAACTTAGGATTTCTAGGAATAACAATTAATTAGTTCATTACCAGAAATATTAAGTAATTCATCATTATTAGTTCTGGTTGGTGGGACATAAAATGGGTGCTGGTTATGTACACGGAATATGTCTTAAAGTGAAGAGAACAGATTTCTGTGGCAGCTCCCTACAGATAAATTTAATGAATGTGCGTAACTTACGGATGGAGCTTGCTGCTATGAACTTGCCCCCTGCAGGTTCATTCATATATAAACGAACATCTGAAGAAGGCTATGCATACCTACAAGTGTGCAATACACTGATATACTTGGCCCCATTCACATATTCTTTGTGTAATATGCCGTTCACTTCCCCTTTTGCAGGTGGGTCAAAGCCCCCCCCCCCCAAATAAATCTCTCAAGCAATAAGATGTCTGAGAGACAGAATGTTAACGGGGGAGCTTTTACCATAATTGTATCCACATACTAGAGAAGGTTGATCTGTTGAATTTCTGCCTGCCACACAGCTGTTAAAGCCACAAGAGCCCCGCTCTCCCTTGGTGCCTACCCTAAACCATGCAAATGGACTCAAGTTTCACAAGTTGTAAGCTACTTATGCTACGGTACTGCTTTCATCAATTTATCTGAGACCGGCAATTTATCTGAGACCAGGCATGGTATCTTACATAGGTGGTGGTGCAAAAGGAGATGAAAAGACACCCACAATTTATAGCAAGCAAGGTTCAGATGCCAATGCTTGGATCAAATCAAGATTAAACTGTTACAAAGCATATTGTAAAAGCATTGTTGCAGTTCTTATTTATACCTCATAACAGCATTGCTGTAATTATCAGCGGAGGCCAGATGAACATTCTCTTTCTTTATTTTAACAGAAAGGAATGGAGTCTTTGATGTGAATGCCCATTTTAGTATTCATACCAGCAGCACAACCCACTTAAAAGGATCTCTCTACTTTTCTGCCAGGGGTGAAGAAGCATTTAAGAGTCCCCTCTCCCCACATTGCTGCTGTGATTGACAATCCCACACAGCAGCAGTTCCCTAAAAGCAAGATACTGAGTAATAGCCATGGGCTACACTGCAGGTTTGTCATATACAACTCTTGCAGACCACCTGCCCCAGCAATGTTGTATGGCTGTATTGGGCTTCGTTCTAGAACTGATGCCAGCTGCGCTTTCTTAACCACAATACCCAGCTGCAACATGGATGATGTACTATAATGCTAGATTTAATTTTTATTTGCTGGGGTTTATTTATGTTTACAAACTGTAGAGGAGGGAGAATAACTTTTTTTTTGCATGAAATTAAACCTCTGTTAGGAAGAATACAAACTCTGTTGCTACCTTTTGGTTTTCAGTGGACATCGAGTCAGCTACGCTAAAATCATGGATTTTTCTTAGTTATCTTCTTTAGACAGTAGTCTCTTCCATAGCAGAGGAGGTGAAAAGAAAATGGCTTCGGAATGACCCACAAAGTCCATTCTCCAAATGTCTGGGAAAAGTCATTCCTGGGTCATTTTGAGGCCATTTTCTGGTCTTCTGTTAGGTTTGTGTACTTTTTCTCTAATACTTGTCAATCACAGCTATGACGGCACCCATTCGAAGGGCAGGAGCAGGTGCATATGTCTGAAAGCAATTGCTTCAAATGGCGGCTGCTTGTTAACTTTTATGTTCTGCACAGGCTAGAAACTTCCTTTTAAAAAGAAAAAGAAACATCTTAGAGTGTGGGGCTCCTAGCAGCCGTGTGTGTGTAGACCAGCCAGCAACACTTTGTACATATTAACCTTGGATTAGTGGAAATTATATCCAGTGAATTGATGGCTAGGGGTTATCTAATAGTATAATTTATGCAGTTTAACTGAAATTTAACATTGGGAAATACATTCCCATTTTAAACCCTTAGCTTCCTAATCAGTTTCTGCTACCTTACAAGTATAAAAGCAGTGTGTTGGGTGGATGGCCTTGTCTCCTGTCTTGATGGGGCTCTTCATTGCTGATTTCCTGAAACTTGTTATTCAGAGCAAAGTACACATGCTGTAAAGTTATTTCCTGCCAAGTGTTAACCGAGCTAAGTTATTGCCTTGGCAAAGCTTGTTTTTATTGTGTTTCTAGGCAAGCAATTCACCCACCAGGAAAATGAAGCCAAACCTCCCTTCCCAAAGAAGGCTGAGGTGTTCTGGAATGCAGAGCTAAATATGTTATCTAGCTTTGGCATTTCAATTATGAGAAAACTTTGGGCAATTCTTGAGTGATAGGTCTGCATTTTGCAACTCGCCCATCAGGCTGTCAGTGAAACTTTGCCGGTTCCAAAAAGACGAATGCGAAGTGAGCTGCCCATTAGAGTAGCCTTTTAATTTTAGGGCTCCCAAAGGACTTTAAGATGACAATCATTGTCTTTCCTGCATTCCACCATGGATTGCCCAATCCCCCTTGCTGCTGCTAAATTCACTGTATTCCTCTCCGCTTGGCAGGTCGCAGGAGCAATGATTTACACGGGGGAAGGAGGTGTATAGGGATAAGCCTAGCATTCACACTCCCTTTAGCATCAGCTGTAGTATATAATCTTCCAGTACTCAAATTACAGTATTATTATTTTTTAATTGTGCGATTTCTTGACCAGATGGTACTCTCCTTGTTCTTCAACAGCTGTGTGAAAAAAGTTGTGCTAGTGTCAGTAACTCCTGTTGGAGCTGGAATTGACTAGTGGACTCATCCTTTTGAGAGAGGAGGATAAACTTGAACCCTTCACCTTGACAGGCCTATTTTCTACATGCTTTATGGGGAAAGTATTCAAATATATAATCCCATTCCCAGGTGACTTAAATTTGTAGAACACAGGGAAAGCTCTACTGCTTGATCCTGCTTGCTATATAAACTGGCCTTTACTAAACTCAATTTTACTTACTTATTTAAACAATCCATATACTGTTTAACTACAGTGTCTCCAAGCGGATTGCAAGGATGGAATACAAAAAAAACCACACAAATCAGTTAAAACTATAAATTAAACTTCAGTTTAAATACCTGCCGAAATAATAATAATAACAAAAATCTAGGTGCCATTAAGTTCAGTAAGGATGGCACCTGTCTGTCCTCAAGTGGAAGGGACTTCTATAAAACTGGGACCACAGTACTGGACAGCCATGGGGGAACCATTAACAGGGACTGCCCCCAAACACCTCCGTGATCAGGCAGGGCTATAAGGGATTAGGTAACCCTCAAGGCATCTTCAGGGTCTTGTAAATTAATACAAGAAACTTCCTTGGAACCTGGCCTGGTAGGGTATGGGCTGCCTGTGCAAACTTTTGAGCACCAGAGGTACGTACTGGTGATCATCTGTCCCTATCAGCAGTCTAGCCACAGCTTTTTTCACCTGCTGTGATCAAGTCTTGAGGTTACCAGTGCATGGTTCCCTGTGGCCAGATTACCCCTGTCCCAAGAACAGGTTTATTGGCTGCAGCTGGTAAAAAGCATTCCTAGCCCCTGAGGCCACCTTGAGCTTCCAGTGACAAAGATGGATCCAGGAGCACCCCCAAAACTCCCAACCTGTTCTTTCAGAGGGATCGCAGCCCTATCCAGAACAGGTAACTGGTCAGTCTCCAGGACACGGGAACAACCAATTCACAGGGCCTCTGTCTTCCCAGGGTTCAGGCCTGGCTTCCCTGCCCCCATTTGGATCCCACCTTTTGTGATTTTCTCACTTAAAAACAAAAAAAGCAACTGATCCTTGAGCTTCTTTTATCAGGGAGACCAACTCTCACCAAGTGCCCCAGGTAGCAGAGCCTGCAGTTTTGCTGTTTGAAGGCTGCTAGTCTGCCTTTCCGGCCCTAGAGTGCCCATCTCATGAAGTGATGAACCACACTAGAGCTTTCTTATTTCTCTCCACCACCACCCCATGCCCTACCTACCGCCACATAACAGAATAATGGGAAGATAGCAGACCCACAAGAATTTATGACACGGTGTCTGAAATTGCATTTGCAGGTGGTTTAGATGAGCCTTGATGTTATGTAAGATTAAGAGCAGCACGAACACATTTGCCATGAAAAAAAGAACAGCACAGCAAACGTTTAGATCATAACAGCTCTTAGATAGCATCAGTTAAATTTCTGTCCCTTCGTATGTGTGGGGCAGCTGTGGGGTCAGGTAGCTTCAGCTAATGCAAAATGCTACAGCTAGACTAATGCTGGGAGCAAACTACTGTCAACACTTGACACCCGTGTTCAAAAGACCTGCATGGTTTCTCATCTGCTACTGTGCCAGGTTCAGGGTTTCTGTATCGTCGTCCAAAGCCCTGAACAACTTAGACCCAGGGTACCTCAATGAATGTCTTAACCTGTATGTCCTAGACCAACCCCTTAGATAATCTGGGGGAGTAGTATTAGTGGTCCCCTACGAACCAGAAGCTTGAGTCACGTCAGTGGGGAGTAATGTCTTCAGCGCTATGGGCCTCACTCTGTGGAACTCTCTCCCATTAGAAATCAGGCAGGCACCGTACCTGCAACGTTTCAGGCAGTTTTATTTCAGGAGACCTTTGCACCACGGACGCAAGTTCTGTTTCGTTCTGCAATGTTTTAAGTTGTGTTTCTAAATGTTACTTACAGTGTGTTTTTAATTTTTTGTAAGCTGCTTTGAAACCCAGATGGGGTGAAAAGCGGGATATATTTTTAAAAATAACATGAGCAAAAACTGTACAGTGACCTCTAAAGCGGGTAAAGTTGTGTCTTCTTTTCTTTTCTTTTTAATATTTGTGTAGTCACCATCAACCTCACCACAGCCTGAGTTTAGCCACTGCAAAATGAAGGCTTCACCCTTGCGTCGCTCTGCTTCCTTGACCCTGATCAGATGCAATCATGTAGCCTCTGCAAAAGCCACAAGCCCTGTAAAGGCTACCAGTCCACCTGTCTCCCTCCAGCGCTGGCGGCCCACAATACCCCTATCATCTATTGGGCTCCATTCTTTTGTAAGTGTAGTCAATCTTCCATCTCTTCTCTGCGGCAGGCGCCCTCGACATTTAGGCTTAATGGCGGGTCTCTTTGGCTCTGAATTCCCTTAGGGCTTTTTCCAGTAGACGAAGCATACTGTCTTAAATCCTCATCAGCAGGCAAATAGCATTAGGAACGTCTACTTCCCCCCCCAAAGATTTTTCCCATCTTCCATCTGGTTTCTCTTATCTCATTGGTGCTTCGTTGGGTCTGCTAATTCTTAGTTCTGTGCCAAATCTGCTCCTATCACATCTGATTGAAAGTCTCTCTGCTTTTTTCCAGGGCCCAGTGCTCTGCGCGCTTTGCAATACTCTCCAGCTCTTCCTGATCTAAATCTTTCATCAGAGATGTACAATATGGCTTAAATGTTGTATTGGCATTGCTGATTGTTTACATTTGCAGTAAATATATGTATATTCTGGTTAATTGTAAAAATCATCCAATATGATCTTGATCTTGGTTGATCTTGTTCCTTTCTTTTGTAAAAACAGGCATTTGAATTATACCAATGAACAAATATTTTTCTGCAACTTAAACAAAAGGTGCTTATCTTGTTTTCAAATTTCCCTTGTCTTTTTATGACTGTATTAAACTGCATTGTGTGTTCAAATTCTAATCTTTTTTACTTCTAGTTTGGGAGAGGCCTAGCTACCAGGAAGAGAGTCTGAACACTGTCTCTGTGTGGTACTGACAACATGAATAGGTTTTTAAATTTCTATTAAGATGCTAACCTTTGGCTTAAAATAGAGAGCTCGTATAAGCATTAAAATTTTGTATAAATAAAGTTGATGGGTGCTTATTGCTATTACTTCCATATTAAAAAGTTAATATACAGACACTGACCTACATAAAGCTAAAAATACCCTACTCTGGATAAATATGTTATGCTGTAACAGTTGGTTTGATGGAGGATGTAAAATATCTCATAACCAACTCAGTAGCAGACTTTTGGATAAATTAAAAGAGCAGTGATCTGAACTGATGTATTGTAAAGAGTAAACAAATATGGACCACATAGACTCTTCTTTTAAAATCATCAAAGAAGGCAGTTGTCAAGAGATATGCAATACTTTCAGAAATTGAATTAAACCAGACCCAAATTCTCATAACAAGAAGTGGGATAAGGGAGTGCATCAATCTTATTTTTTCTATACAACAGAAACTCCTCTTTGGAACCGTGTGTAGACTACTAAGTGCTAACCAGAAGACAAACTTCTAAAAAATCAATATATTAGTGGTATCTTTCAGCTCAAAGATTAAGCAGGATATACAAGAGCAATAGCACTCCACGGCATCTTGACCAAACGAGATGGAGGCAGGATGGAGAAGGATGTTCATTCATTGTGGAAACTCTTTTCCTTTGGCTGCATGCTAGTACCCATCCTTGTAGTTTTTTGGAAAGCTTGCTAAATCTGTAAGACACTGAATACTTTAGCACCAAGAACCTTTAACAATGGATGGTGAATGGTCTTCTGTGATCAGCTGGAAGCACAATTATAACTGACGGAGCTGTTTCCCCCACAATCCTGTCTTTGTTACATTTAAAGATGTCCGCAGGAACCTGGGAACTCTGTTCAAACAGGGTTTGTGTTCTTTGCATCTACGTGATGCAGCCATGGTGTGAATGAATCGATTTATTTCAGTCACTGGCCAGAGTGGAGCCATGGTGTCACTCTGAAATGAAAAAGTGATCACCGCTACAAAAGTTTATCTATGTGCAATGTCAGTTTGAACACATCAACAACTTTTTTTGCATCTCTGTGCAGACTCATTGGCATGAGTGAACACGTGGTGGAGGGGACAACAGGAGAGTCACAGGGAAGGCATGAGAATATAGTGGTTTGGAATTTGTCATTACGATTCTTAGGAATAAGTGAGTGGGCAAGTGCCATCAGTTCTAGAGAAAACGGCTGCTATAGAAGCACTTACTGTCTAGTTAGAAACTGCTGTTCTTGTCTACACAGACACTAACTTCTGGAAAAGCTGGTGTAGAGCTATACGTTTCATCTTCACACAACTTTCAGGCCTGCTTTGTGTTAACGTATTTGTATACCTTTTTCTGAAAGTGACATGAATGTGGGACCGAAAATCTGAGACAATGAAAATTTAAGATCTGAAGGAGACCTGGAACTAAGAAATGCTTTTGAATGTCCTCTAAGACTAAAACTGATAGGGTCTAGAAGAAACCTCTGCAAGTCCCCAATGTGATACTTCATCAAAGGCACAAAGGTTACATGCCCCTGTGTAAGTAATACAGTGGTACCTCGGGTTACATATGCTTCAGGTTACAGACGCTTCAGGTTACAGACTCCACTAACCCAAAAATAGTACCTCGGGTTAAGAACTTTGCTTCAGGATGAGAACAGAAATCGTGTGGCGGCAGTGCAAGGCCCCATTAGCTAAAGTGGTGCTTCAGGTTAAGAACAGTTTCAGGTTAAGAACGGACCTCCGGAACGAATTAAGTACTTAACCCGAGGTACCACTGTACAGAGTTTGAGTGCTAAGTACACGGCAAACTGCTTTGAGTCTTGAGGCACAACTGACCCCAATATAATATTGACTTCTGGGGAAAACATCTTGAGACTATACTCCTGACAACATCCCCCTATTTTTCCACAATGGAAGTCGCTACAATCTCAAAATTATAAGTTTGTTATAAGATTGGCAATTATAAGTGGCCATGGGTGAAAAGTCAGCCAGACCATGTTTCATATCCATGCTTTTTCCACTTAACATTCAAAGCAGGCGTGGACATATCAGTCACATAGATAGCAATCAGTGGGTCGTGTGAGTTTTTCTGTGCATTTCCTGCACACTTTGTGCAACTTTGTAAGCCACTATCGCATCTCCCCTTTAGTTGTGTCTTCTTCCCCCACAAAAATAGAGTTGCAAACTATATATTTGCGCCTCTTTGCAGAAAAAGGTGTCCCATCCTTTGATTTTTTTATTCTCTTTTAACACTTTCACAACTCTTACACAAATCTTTCATCTCTACAGGGAGCTGCTGTTCCAATCTAGAAATGAATGTCTCTAGCCTGGACACTTGTGCTATTATATCTGCAAATGACACTGTCATAACATTACATTAGGTTTGTAGTGTTCTTAACGTGTGCCGTCGGCATATTGTTGCAAAAGCTATGTACTAACCCAGAGTTTTTGGCACTGAAATGCTTCTTGCATCAATGAGAACACTTGGAATACCTTTTGGCAGAAATGTGAGACTTCTAAAAAATGGAGTTAATTTTAACCAGCTTCTGGAGCTGTTGCCACGAAGAACAGTGTATTTTGGATGTCTGTTAGACCAATACTTGGTGCATAGGTGGAGTTAAATTACCATGATATATTTGCTTCAGTTGACTTATACAGCCATTCTGTGTTTCTAATTCTTAAGCTGTCATACTGGCTATTTTGTTAAAATTGGATTATCATTATTCTATACCACCCTTCATCCAAAGATCACAGGGCAGTTTACAATATAAAAACTTCATTTTAGCTTTTGTTTTGCACGGGGGCGGGGGCTGTAGTATAATGATCAATAGCATTTTGTAAACTGTGGCTGCAAAATGCCCAATAAATAGCCATGGCCAATTTTATTATTTGTTTAGAAATATTTGCACCCCACTAATGCACCAAAGGGCTCACAAAAGTGGCTTACTAAAAATCTCACAATAAAAATAGCATTTTAAGTCTAGTATTGGGATCAGAAACAACATAGTTCCCTATAGTGCCAGGATTATTCAAGTACCGTTTCGTATCACCATCCTCTGTTTTTCCTGGTGTTGTCCTGTGGCCGTTGCCTGATAACCAGCCCAGCAAAACGGAAGCTGTATTTTTGTTAGGAAAGGACTATTTCAGTATGAGATTATGTATACAGACTCAAAACACAAGAGTTTACAGTGCAATCTTACGCCTTAGCTGCAGACCTCATTGTGTTCAGTGGGGCTTGCATCTGTCAGGTGTGTATGAAAGGGAGAGGGCATACTTTTGTCTAGTGTGAAAATTTATATATTAGCCCAAATTTCAAGTGTATGTATGTGTTAAAGTACATTTTTTGTAGGTACAGTAGTGGCCAAAGTACCATCTTCACCCTCCATTCCTTTGAGACAGGTCTCTTCTCTCTCCAGTACCAAAGTTCTCAAATGAGAGGTGCCAGAAGTCAAGCCTGGACAGAACCAAAACCAACCCTAGAAGCTGGTTCAGTCTTGAGGAACAGTGCGCTTTTCTTTATTTAGAAGCTCATGTCTTTTATACTTCACATGTATTGTTCAAACCGGGTTCATAGGTTGAGCCCTGGCTCGGGTTAAGTTCTTCCCAACTGGGTAGAGCAAGAGTTTCAGCTCCTACTAATGACTTGCATGCATGTTGTATTCTGTCGCAGGCACCCAGTATAGATGAAAAAGTAGATCTTCACTTCATCGCATTAGTAAACATTGATGGCAATCTCTACGAGTTGGGTAAGAGCAATCCTTCTCTTTCAAAACGGATCATATTATCATCTACTTAATGCTTAATTTTTGATATTTTTACCTCGGGTGTATAGCCTGCCTGCCAAGAATGGATAGTGATTATAAGATCGTCCAGTAAAGAATTCTCAGTCAAGTAATTATGTTCTGCCTTTCAAGAACCACAGTTAAGAGGAATGGAAGAATATTGGAACAGCTAGTTTTGAAAGGGGAAAGCTGTTAACCTGATGAGCAGGCCTCCGTTTTAGTTCATAATTTGTTTCTGATTTTTTTAATGTATGAGTTGGTAATGGTTTTTCCCCTACCTTGAATATGCCATTGATTTAGAGTGACCTTTTGAAGATGTATGTTGTCTTCCATGAGCCTGTATAAAGTGAAGTCATAGGAAACTTGCAATTGCAAACCTTGCATGTGAAAAAGGCTGTGGATTCAGTCCCCAGAATATCTGATCAAACAATCTCTAGTAACAGGGTTAAGAAGAGGCAGTTGCCTAAGACCTCAGAACTTCTAATACTCATTAGTACTGTTTCCTTAGTATAACTTTGGTTTGAATCCATAGCACCAAAACTGTACATCCAAAGTTTCCTAAGATCTCCTCTTATTGTACTGTCCTTTTGTGCCTTATTTAGTCTGTTCAGATTGTTTGCTTTTTGAATCCTGGAAGACCACCTAAACACAAAACACTTACACTTTGCCACAGAAAATATGCTCTTTATATTTATAGATAACAATTTACCAGAATAGACTAGGGAACAGAATAATAAAAAAAAAAACTTAGCTTGGAAACTGTGTGTGGTCAGCTCTAGGTCTGTGGAACGCAACCAAGAATGTGCATTGCGGAACTGCCTCTTGGAGCGCTGCGTATATAGAAGTCAACCATTGCAGTAAACACATCGAAAATGTCTAAAGTGCATACCTCATATGAAAATAATTTAGGGATTTGTCTGTGATGGAATAAAAATAGCTACCAAACTAAATGAATTTACACAAGAAACTGAAAACTGGGAAAGGAAGACAAAGTCTTTCCCGGCATATTTAATGGAAGCTGAGAAGTTGGCTTCATGAATTTGGCTGTCTATGTTGGATAGCTTTAAAAAGTAATTGCCATGGAGGATCGGCCAGTTACTATTAATCAGGTAGTTAAATTGTGCCTCCATACTTAATGGCAGTGAATGTCTGAATTTCTAAAACCAAGCATAGAAGGGCCTTTGCCTTTGTGTCCTGTTTGAACTTGGAGGCATGTCTCTGGTCCCTAGTGGTGGCAATGGGAAGCTAGTCTACAGGGGATCTTGATTCATTTTATAGTATGTTAGCATGAAAAACCCAGTAGCTTTCCATTTGATTTGATCTGTGTACATAAAGGAAGAACTAGAACAATGCCCAACTCTGTCGGTGGAATTGGTATATGCTGTTAATGCATAGTCATTCACATTTTTGTTCCAACAAGCTTTTGCAGCTGGATGAATAGGTCTCTGCCATAGTTCATAGAATCATGGAATTGTAGAGCTGGAAGAGACCCTGAAGATCATCTAGTCCAACCCCCTGCAATGCAGGAATTTGTAGCTATCCCAGATGTCCATTTTCTGTTGTTTCTAAACTTCCTGTTTTGTTTAGGGGGGGTTTTTTGTACAGTTTTGTAACTTTTTTTAGCAGGGCTTATTGCATGTCATACATTGCCTTGGGACATATGTTGTGGAAGGTGATTAAATAATGATGATGATGATTTTAAACCTTGGCGACTTGTACAAATTTAACTATAGTACTTAATTTTTCCTAGCCCTGTTATTTCATTGTACGTATAGTGGGGAAAATATCAAAGGATTAAATGACCTTAAAACTTATTTTATGGGATCACGTGAGGTGTACTATTTGCCCCATGAGGAAGATTGCCGTGTCAAATTTACTACTTAATGTTTCTACAAAAATTCTTAAGAATTTTCTTTCTGTGTTTTCCAACAGATGGACGGAAGCCTTTCCCAATAAACCATGGGCAATCTAGTGATGACACTTTTTTAGAGGTAGGAATATTGTTTCATATCAACAGACTTTGACACTTATTATAGCAGAGCTGTTGTGGGTGGTATGAAGTATTTACTATGTTATTTTGTGAAACTGCTGTTGTAGAATATAGTACAAATTTAGATGAGCTTCAAATTGCCAGTACTGCTAGAAGCTGGGCATACTGAATATTGTTTTCTGCTTCATATTATCTTTATGATCAGTCTTCTGATCAGTCAAAATTCCTGGTAAACAAAGGCAGAACTGTTCTCACCGTTCCTAATGTTAGTTAGGCAATGATTGATCAATTTCAGTTGTGTTTGTTTTGCAAAATAGATGACGCATCCTTATCCTTTCTTTCCTCTTACTAGGATGCGGTAGAAGTATGCAAGAAATTCATGGAACGTGATCCAGATGAATTAAGGTTCAATGCAATTGCTTTAGCAGCTGCCTAAATTATTCTTGCACAAGGACAGAAACTGCCTAATGTATTGTAACAGAATAATGCTTTTGCCATAAATCAATGATCCAGTTTTTGATACCATGAAAATAACATGTTGATGTGGATTAAACTTCAAATTTGTCCTTTATCTCATGTAGCCTGTTTCTTCTAGAGTATTTTGAATGATTGCATGAATGCATTCCAGGAGAGCAGCTGTGTTGGTAGCACAACATCATGAAAAGCGCCATGGACCTAGTTCACAGGTTTTGTGTTTTTTTTACTGGGCGCAAGCAATCCTGATTATCCTCATACATAGCACAGCAAAATTCATCTGATGCTGTCTAATTTGGCTACCTTGGATGTGGCCCGTAGCAGTTTCTCTGATTGCAGCAGCCAGAGAAAGCTTCACCACTATAAAGGAAATTGCTGCAGGCACAATGCAGTTCTCAACATGAACGTGCAACAAAAGAAAGGTCAAGACAACTCCTGTTTGCAGAGCAACTGATCTGGTCTTACGGGTTATTGCATGGACTTTTGGTAAGCAGTTGCCAACTTTGTGAGATGCTGTTAAAGGAGCAGTCCTGTACACAAGAAGCTCATATATGTTAATCCAGTGTAAAGTTACACCAGATCCAAACCCCATTCAGGAGCAAGGCTACTTGCTCTCAGCTGAGCTGGCCCAAATCTATCAGGGAAAAACAAGTGCTTGAAAGCGTTTGACTTTCCCCACACTTTCTGTATTCTGGGATTGCTCTTAACTGCAGTAGGCCTTAGAACTGACTCTGTGTAAACAGACCGTATTAATAACATATGCCATACACCTCTGAAATGAGCACAGGTTTTTATGGCAAATGACACTAATAACATGGGCTAGAGCAGGCTTCCTTAACCACGGCCCTCCAGATGTTTTGAGACTACAATTCCCATCATCCCTGACCACTGGTCCTGCTAGCTAGGGATCATGGGAGTTGTAGGCCAAAAACATCTGGAGGGCTGAGGTTGAGGAAGCCTGGGCTAGAGCTATCCCTGCCAATGAGGAATATTAATATCTCTGACCAATCCATTAATTAATATTACTACTCTGTATACCTCTCCCCCCCCCATTGACTTTTCATCTTAATCCTGGTGCATCAAGATTAATAAGAGGATACAGCCTTTCTGAAGTTTTTTATCTGCTATGATGACACTGTATTGAATAGCCAGCTACTGGACTGAAGAAGAAGAAGAAGATCATTATTGTTTTGTGTCTTAATAAAGTCACTGACTTTCTTTTATATGCTTGTGATTAGCTCTTACTTGCTTTTGTAACATTTGTTACAGAAGTCAAGCTACTCGGTTCATAATTCCCCTGAGTTTTCCACTGAAGATAACGAACCACGTTCTTAAGAGATGGCTGCAAGCCTTGGGGGGAAAAACCATTCACAGCCATGCTAACTAATGGTTCCCATATTCTTTAACAACTAAGATTCAGGATCATTGAAGATGTCATCAGCCCCCTGGTTTTGAATTCATTCAGATGGTCCCAACTATTCAACAGACTTCATCACTAGCCTGACCTGTGGCCTTGCCCATCCTTACTCTTGTCAGTGTTGCTAAATGTCTCATTAAAAGGGTTTTATTTTCCTTGCAAAGACTTGAAGCAAAGCAGGCACTGAGCGGTTAATTGAGCTATGGACTGTGTATATGTCTGTGAGCACGTGTGTGCTTCTAGCACGCTTGTGAAAACCTCTAATGGTTAGCTTCATTTTTCTGTTTGTTCGAGCTAGCACTGCTGAGCTTCTTGTTCAGGATGACTTGATCACTTGAATGCCGACAAGGAAAAATGAGAATAAACTTTTTGAAGGTTCCCCTGAAGAATACTGTAATTGGAAACACCTGCCTGTTTCTAACCTGCTTATTTGTGCTATATTTGTGCCTGTAATGTAAACTCTCCATGAGCCCTGCTCTTCGAGTGACGAGTGGCTGCAAAAATCCTGTATGAATGTATTTGGTAGAAAAGAGAGAGACAGACAGACAGACATAGAGAGAAGCAGGTATTGTGAGATCTGCTCAGGTGTTTCATTTTTAAATTCAGGAAAATAGCTTTGGCTTTTAGAGCTGCGGTGCTTGCAGATTTACTTGTGCCCTAAAACAAGTAGAAATGGCAAGATAAAGCACTTGACTTTCACTTCCACGTCAGCAGTAAGCCCATTCCAAAGTCGTATTGTGCTTGTTTACAACTTAACATTCCTCCACCACCGCTCCTTTTTATTCAGCCTCAATCCACTTCCTGTATGAGGTACCCCTTTCCTGAACTCCAGGAGCCTGTAACATAATATATTTTTTTAAAGTTCGCTAAACACTGCAATGAGTATGTCACTCTGTCACTGGGAAGAGGTTATGGTATCTTGCCATGGAGCAATTGCAATCCCGTATTGCGTATGTTGTTGTTAACAGTAAAACACGGAGCAAGGATAATACAGGATAATGACAGCAGTCACGAAATTAAAAGATTCCTGCTTCTTGGGAGAAAAGCAATGACAAACCTAGACAGCATCTTAAAAAGCAGAGACATTACCTTGCCGACAAAGGTCTGTATAGTTAAAGCTATGGTTTTCCCAGTAGTGATGTATGGAAGTGAGAGCTGGACCATAAAGAAGGCTGATTGCCGAAGAATTGATGCTTTTGAATTATGGTGCTGGAGGAGACTCTTGAGAGTCCCATGGACTGCAAGAAGATCAAACCTAGCCATTCTTAAGGAAATCAGCCCTGAGTGCTCACTGGAAGGACAGATCGTGAAGCTGAGGCTCCAATACTTTGACCACCTCATGAGAAGAGAAGAGTCCCTGGAAAAGACCCTGATGTTGGGAAAGATGGAGGGCACAAGGAGAAGGGGACGACAGAGGACGAGATGATTGGACAGTGTTCTCGAAGCTACCAGCATGAGTTTGAACAAACTGCGGGAGGCAGTGGAAGACAGGAGTGCCTGGCGTGCTCTGGTCCATGGGGTCACGAAGAGTCGGACATGACTAAACAACAACAACAACAAAGGATAATACGTTCTAAGGTTTTAAGATTGTGTGGCTGAAATGTACTAACCTGAGAACATGCACATGCCTTGTGAAATAAGTCATTGCTGCATATAGGAACAAATGATGGAAACCAAAGGATGTTTGAGAAAACTGTTCCTGCACCATGCAACAGGTAAAGAGGAGGAGGGCCTTCCTAGAAGCAAACAGGTTAATCTAGTCCATCTTATGATGCCTGCCTTCCATAGGTTATTACAGGTTGCTGCTGCTTGGCTTGGCCTTCCCTTCAACTATTGCTGCCTCTTCTAGGTTATGTCACCTGTATCTCAAGCCTACTTTCATCATTTTTTTTATGGGTTCTGGGAACAGCATCACAGTGAGAAGTAGGAGGAAAGTAACAAGTAGAATTAAAGCCGTCATAGTGGTTGTGTCTCAAAGGTAGGGAGCGAGGCTTGTTACCAAGCCATTGTGGAAAACAGCTCATGGCTGTACTACAGGTCTGAGCTTCTAGATTAACCCCCCCCCCAACTTTAAATATGTAGAGGATTGCACTGTTGTTGTTTTTTAAAAAGCAAACTCTCGGAAGTTGGGCTGTTAACTAATATTTGTATCTAAGGGGAAAGGAACTGTTAGAGGTGACAGAGTAGTAACTTTTTTTTTTTTTGCACAAAAACAAACCCAACAGAGGAATTTACAAGGACTCAATTTAAAAATACAAAAAACCCTCCCTTTTATAAATGCTTCTGTGTCCTGGTCCTCTTGCTACTGGAGAGTTCTGTATGGAAAAACAACTGTCTGGAATGTAGGATGCTTTGGCTAAGATGTGCTATCAAGTTGGAAGAGTAGATAGCTGAGATTGTCAGTCTCCCATTATATTCTCTCCCCCTTGCCCTGCCCCTGTAACCTCCAGCTGACCTAGTGACTAGAGGAAAATGAAAGTTAGAATGTCCCTTCCAAATGAGCATATATGGCATCCAGAACGATTTTGGAATGCAGGCATTTGGGTTTTTTGTTTTGTTTTTTAAACAGTAACTAATAAAATGACTTGTTTCAATTTGCTACAGAACAAATGTTCCCTGTGATAAACAGCACTTGCTGGTGATTAAGTAAATTCTCCAAAAGGAGAACTTACTGGATCACAGCAGTCTTTCCACAACACGTTTGCTCTATGGAAGGCAGTTAAAAGAATTCTTGTAATACCCGAGTTCAGACAAAACAGGGATGTCCCTTCAACATACTTTGCTAAACACGAGCTGTAAAAGAATGAAAATTTATGGTAACTGCAACTACCTTGTATTATCTGATAGCAATTGAGATAGAATGTTGGAGTGCCTAAAATAACATTTTACATCAGTATGAAGTATCCAGGCATTTAGACTTTTATGTTGCAATTGCATCCAGGAGGAATTCAATTTTTAAAAAATGGGCAGGGGGGAGATCATATTTTATTTGTTCTTACTGGGTTCAGGTAGTGGGGATTGAAGCTTTACAATTGATTTTTCTAGGTATTTTCAAAAGTTGATATGCATCGCCTTGGAATATCAGTGGAATTAATTTATTCCTGTTTATGCATTGTTTACCTCTAAGCTTAAATATGTGAAAGATACATATGGTTGGAGAAATATAGAGGACATATACATTGACTCAGTAACAATTGAAACATTGGAGTCTACATCTTTGAATGGGCTGAGCACCTGGGGGTCATCACAAGATGCTGTGAATCTCTCCTCTGACATCTGCCCTTGTTGGACTTTCCAAGGCAACAAAAGCTATGATTGATACAGACACAGTAAACAGAATGCCTTCCGTTCCCCGACGTGACTGCCACAAAGGCCTGCATTCTTACATGCAGGGACAAAAACCTCAATCCCTTGGTTTATATTGGTGTTGGAATAAAAGTAAGCCCTGCCTTGTCTCACAGAAGTATGATAACGGTGATGATATACTGTGTTCAGTTCCAATAAGGAAGCTGCGTTTATGGGTGCAGTACTGGTCCAAAGTTTACAACAACACAATTATAGCTTCCCTGCCCGCTACCATCCCTAAATTTCCAGAAACTTCCTTCTAGAACTATTACTATTCTTTACTGAATTTGTATACCACCTTTCATCCGAAGAGCACAGGGTTTTTCACAATGGAA